TTTAATTCATTTACATCCATAACATTGATACTGAAGTAAAATTTAACAACTTTTTGATCCAAATCATAGCATAAAAGATAATAGAAAAAAATATTGAGACTAAAGAAATTTATAAGTTAACATATGAAAACATCATCACAAGAATATACTTAAAAAATCAAATTTGATCTCAATAACCATACCAAACATATCTCATTATAATATCAAGTGAAGATTTTTTTTTTTAATTCTTGCTATCTTCTATTTAAAGTTTAGTCCAACTCCAGTTCAATCAGATAAATTTTAACTCTAGATCAAGCTTTATGTATATTAAAAAAATATCTTCATATTTATATCATTATTTTAATCTCTCAAAACTAAATCAAAATTTGTCAAAATTGAATCTACTTGTTCATAAATAAATATGAATCATTTGAATAATAAGTAACATCTTTCATATCAAGAACTCAAGGGAAAAAACATGTTACCATATTCTCTTATCTTAGTAATTTTCTGACATCACAAAAGCATTTTGACATAATTGGAATCAAATCTTTGAAATAAAGAAGTATCAAATAAAGTTTAGGATATGAGCACATCTGCTTAGTCTAGTTGTGCGCCTATAGTGGTTTAATTTAGTCGCACTATTAGATCTTTGTTTAGGCGGTGTGTGAATACAAGCTTTATTAAGAAATTATTATTATTTTATTTTTTTGAAGCAAAATGCTGATTTTATTTCACTGCAAAGTTGATCAAAAACACCTTTCCACAACCAAGCAAGCTAGCAATATCAATTTTGTTTTGTCTACCTAATAAACACATGATGACAACCTGATTATCTAGAGACAAAAGTAGCAAGTGATGGTCGCTCATACTTCAAGACTATCTCTGCGTCTCGCCGGGCGAAGAGCAGTCCTGCATGATCCCACATGGAATGAAACTATCTGGCTGCCCTTGGACATTCCCTGTGACTCATGTCTCTCCCACCACGCAATATTGGCGGATGCCGTGCGGGCCAACCCGAGTATCAAATGATTGTCGTTCAGTTATTTAAAAAATATTCAAAAGAATTTAAATGTGTTAAAAGATAACTCTTTGTAAAGAACTACATGCTTTTGAATCTCATAATTTGTGATACTTAAGACTGTATTAAATTAATGAAAAATAAATCTTTTTTGTTTGAAAATAACATTTCATATTGGAATCTAGTAGTTTATAATTATTTGTGCTAAATTCATCATTAAAATTATTTTAATTAAATATTACTAATTTGAAGAAGATTCATAAAGTAATACATAATGATATATAAGATTCAACTTTTATTACTTCACATTCTGAAATATTATACTATATAATATATATCTCATTTTAGAATTGAATAAAATTGTAGTTAAAACTTTAAATTACTTTTAAAATTTAAATTAAAAAATTTAAATTCTTTAATATTTTCAAAAAATGAAATTTTTGAATTAAGATTCATTCGAACAAGCAAAGTGAAAATTTTGCAACCACAAAGTGATTACTTCTATCATTTAGATCAATTGTTATTCAATGTAATATATAATTCATAGTGTAGAAGTAAAATTTGATCCAACATCAATTGAACAGATGAGGAATATGTTGAATCAATCAAAGTTACATATTTATTTTGACCAAAAACTCTGTAATTTTTCAACTTATTTGAATAATTTGTATATAGTGAGAGTAATTATATCTGAGATATGATTTTGTGCTATGTTAAGAGTAAAAAAGCATTGTTTATGGAAAAACGTGTTGTAAAAGATGGACAAAATTGACGATTTTAATAATTTGTCATTCTTGAACAGAACCTTGCAGAAGCAAATCACTTGTTTCTATATCAATTGTTTCAAATCCATGTAACTGTGAATTAAATCCTAACCAAAAAAAGATTTTGAAATCATGACTATATAATACATGTGAGGGTTTGAGCTTCATTGTTTCCAATGTAAATTTAAATTTTCAACCTAAGATTTTTATTGAGACTTTTGATAATGCAACAAGAGTTCTCACAATTTTTCTTATATTGTGCTAAGTTCTAGTGATTTTTTTAGATACATCTTTATTTTATTTTCTCAATCAAACATAAATGAAGATTGAGATCTCTATAATTACATAGATCAAAACACCTAAATATAATGACTAAATGAACAAGAATAAGAACTACGCATTATGTATGATCACTTCACATTCAATCCGCTGTATCAATATAACAATGTCTCTCTAGCATGTTATGAGGAATTGTCAATTTATGCAATGTGCAAATTACTTTTCATTACGAGGCTTTGTACAATTCTTTTATTTTCATGTGGGTTGATCAAATGTCTTTATGAAGTTGGACGAGAAAAATCATTTGAGTGGTTTAAACTAGCATTGTTGAAACCTTCAATCTACATGTGTTTTATTTGAATTGTTCCAGTCTTGTAACTATCATTGTTCATGGTCACATGATTATTGGTCTCTGTGTATTGCTTCTCTAATGTCGCAGAATTTATAAGTAATCATTTTTCAAAACTTAGTGAAGATCAAATCAAGTGAAAAATAGCAAATTTCAGTCTTCATTCTTTATGTGTTTCTCATATATATATATATGTATATATCACAAGTTAACCATTTCATGTCATCAACATGCGGTATTTTATCTTCATAACGTCAAGGAAAAAAATAAAATAGAATTTTTTTTTCAGTGTAATTTTCACAGCGAGAATTTTTTATTGCTCTTTAAATGATAAAATAACATTCAGAAACGTACAATCCCGCTTCTAAATAAAGTGGAGTTTCATACTCAAAACTAGAGAGCCAGTGAGATACACAAATACGGAAAGATTGTCAAGGAAAGGTAGGTTGCTGTAAAAGCTTGATTGTATTGGACGGTGCATGAAAGTTTGCATGGACTAGAATCTTGTTTCACTCAGAAGTAGTATAACAGTTGGCTATAGTTGCTTGCGAAATTGGAGTTATACCACAACCTCAAAGAATGAAATTATGAAGATAATGTACACTATAGAGGTCATTCAAAATTTGCATTTGAATAAATTGAGTTATTTCTGAATTTAATACAAGATTTTAATTTTTTATTGTAAAATGAAAGATTAAAAAATGCCTTAAACTTTTTAACCTGGATATTGATTAACTGAAGCTAGTTCAGGTACAAGTAATTATATCAGTTATTATATTTTTTAATATAGAAAAAATTATAAAAGCAATACAAAATATTAGAAATTTCTTTCATTTTACAAAAAAGTTGAATTACATAACGTTTAAATATTGATGTAGAATCTTAATAGAATATTGTGAATAGATTACATTATATTCAATAAATTATATAATACATACAGTTGTTTTATAATATATATATATATATATATATATATAATGTTTCATTATATAATTAAAAATTATCAAATAAATTTAATATATTAAAATATTCATAAAATATCTAAAATATTTCAATAATTGTAATATTCTAATAAAAATTCACGATGAATTTTCATAGATCACATGTTTTGTGCGACAAAACCTTATGAGGAGTAATTTGTTATTCACAACCTAAAATTTTTCATTCTAGTTTATATAAAAAAAATATCAATTGTTCAATCTTTTTTCTTTCAAACGGATTATGAGTATTTTTTAGACTTTAAAAAATAAGCACTCAAATATTAATAATTAAATGTTATAGAAGTTTGCTAGTAGTTGTACAAACTTATAGTAAAATCTCACTTCTTGAACATTTAGAAAAATATGTTACTCATTATTATGAATGATAAATTTTTTTTCTGATTTTGAATTAATTTGCTAAATTATTGAAATCTGATATATTTTATTTCATTTTAATATTATATAATCAAAGTTATGATTTCTATTTCCTTTTTTTTTAATATTTGTGTGGATTAATTATGCATTTATTTAGAAAAAATATACTTCTGTCATATCATTGAGAAAGATTAACTGATTTTGATTTAGGAAATTTACTTATTTATAAGTTATGATTAATTGATTTTCCAAATTTCATATTTTTAATTTTTTTGGAATATTTTTATTCAACCTAAAAATTTTAATCATTAATGTGAATGAAATACAAAGTCTAACTCGGCATTTGGATTCAGATCTCATCAATATCATTATGTTACTATTATATTTGAAAGCTATTTTTTAATTTTGCGTTTTTTTACATGTAAACATGTATAATTAGTATGATTTTAGATAATTTTAAAAAATTCTCTTTTCTTATACTTAATGAGTTTTTATATTTTATTCGATGAGCAGTATTTTAACAATATCTGATTGCTACTGTTGCATCTCATTGGCTGTTTTTTTCAATAAAATGATAAAAAACAAAGACTAATTTTTGAAGTGAAAATCATGAATCAGAGTTCGTCTTTATCCAAATGTGCATATTGATTTTGTCTACTTATCATTTAAAATCATAAATTGGTAAAAGAAGTCTTAATATTGGGTTGATTGAATGCATATCTTTTCAATCCTTTCATTCTACACATTTATCATAAATATAGAATAGAATAATAATAGAATAGAATTGAATGTGATACACCTTAACCATAAAGAAAGTGCTGATACGCACAAGTTATTGCTAAATTTTCACTGGGTACACTTTAAACAGAGACAAGTACAGTGTTGCCTCACATTACATCAATCAAGATAACAAATTTTTTTGATAATTACAAATTGAAAGAGGAACAAACAATCATGGATTGCGTTGTGATTATTATTTTGATTTTAGACATTATTGCCATCATGTATTTTAAAAAAAAACGTAGCATAACTCTCACAAAAAATTACAAATTCTTACTCCAAGAATCTAAACTTACATCCACAAGGATACAAAGTGAAATTACACATTGAGAGCATGAAGTTCAAAGTGCTATCAAAGTGGTAGACATTCGCAACTTAGTCGACGAGATTGTGATGGCCCTTCGGGCCAACCCCGAGAGTGCCGTATATTCCAAAGGTTCGACAACAGCGCAAACCGAGTTATCCACTGCGAGCGCCAATGACAGGGCGGGGTTTAGCGAGCGTCAGCTGAACTCCGATTGACGATGGCTGCTTTGTTCCGAATTTCCGCACGGGGGGTTTTAGACTCGCTCGCTGCCTGATCTTCTTCGTCGACATTGCACTCGTCAGAGCAAGCAGCAGCACGATTTCCTCGGCCGGACATTTTCTCGTGAGTTTCTGTCCCCTGTCGTCGTCGTCGTCGTCGTTGCGTGATGTGCGAAAGTGCTTGGAAGGTGATCGTTCCGCGATCGCTGCGCAGTCAAAGTGTCAGTCGTCCACATGCTCCCTCTAGATGTTTGTATGACGAGACGAAGCCTGGTCGAGTGTGAGCTGGAGATTTGGAGATTAAGGCAGAGTCGCATTTGTTTGGGAGTACTCTTGTGTGAGTTTTTGACAAGGTGGCATTTGGATTGATCAGGTGGAAGCAGAGAGGGAGTGAGCTGACGAGGAATCACATCAGAGATTTTTTTAGGGAAGGAAGGAGAGCAGAGAAGCCATAAACTATGGCGTCCATGGTACGCCGCCTTGAAATTCTGGCTGGGGTTCGCCTCTGTGATGGTCTTTCTGCGTTAGTCAATGAGATGTCTGCGAACCTTTCGACCGGAAACTGAACGATTGAATCAAAAAGAACTTTTTGTTTTGGACGACGAGACTCGTCTAATTATCGAATTATTCTGCTCTAATTCGCTCCGTCTGCAACCGTCCTGAAATTTTATCTGCTCTGATTTCTACTACGAGAACGATGTTGAGAATATGGTGCTCATCTTACGCATTGTGCAACTCTTGTAGCTCTCTCTGTCCTCGACAAGCGGCGTCCTGGCGTCTGCATCGACAGCAGGACCCGTGCGATCGGTTGTCGATTCCGCTTCGTCGAGCGGGGCGTCCTTCACGCCTTTCACTGGGCTGAGAGGAAGCTCTTGCTCGTCTTCAAATGGTGTCAGCAAAGGACATCTTGCGGTCTCTCGGTCCCGAAGCTCCCGGAGTTACAAGCAGAGACGTAGCGCAGTGGTTGCCATGGCAGCTGAGGAAGGCGCCATTCCTTCCCTGAATGACATTCCCCTGACACTGTACATCAATCAGCAAGGAAGAATTCAGCCAGCGGTTGAGAAGTCAACGAAGGCATCCGTGTTCGCAATCTTCGATCAAAACAAGAAAATTCAGTACATTGGATTTTCGAGGGATGTGAGGAACACGCTCAGAACACTGATGGGTCGTCGACCGACGCTGTGCTACTACTACAAGCTGTACAATCTGGATTCTCTGGATCAGCAACGGATGCTTTCGTGCAGGCAGCAGGTAATGTTGGCTGCAAGTGAACTGTATCTGGCAGTGCGAATGTCGTCGTTGAGCTGAAAGTTGTGCCTCCATGGTTTGCAAGCTTCTGAAATTTGCTACGCTGCGCATAGTGCAGTGGGTCTCGGAGCTGGGGCTCCCTCCTGTGGGAAATGCCGACCCAGTGCAGAAGAACCTTTGGGAGCAAGCTTCCGATGCTGGATCCATATCCGAACGTGGTAGGCAAGCGGCGGCAACTTCCATGGCTAAAACGTTTTTGCAAACCATGGCTGATCGAGGTTTGAAGGAGGAGGTAAAATCACATTCTACTTTATGCCTGCTTTTCAAAGATCTAGAAACTGTGTGCTTGTACAATGCCTCTACTAGTACAATATTTACGCCTGCTGTGATCTGTGGACACGTTCGCTGATCTGGTGTGGTTTGAATGCAGATGGTATACAATCCAGAGCTCCTGGCCGCAGGAAAGTGCGACGTTTTGCCGGTATTTTTCAACACCATCTATTCTTTATCATAGAAGACCTGTAGGATGCTGCTTTCTGATCAGTATCCTGATCGTTCCTATCAGGTCGTGCAGCTGCTTTTAGAAATGTTCCCCAAATTTCCTCCTGATTTCTCTTTGACCCTCTTACCTTGTTTCGGTGATCCAGTCCCTGGATCAAACTGCAGCCGAAATTGCCTCTGCCGCCAAAGCTCTAGCAGAGCAAGCTGCCAAGCGACGTGCAGTAGTTGTCACCTCACCACAAGGGGAGAATATCGAGTTCGAGATATTTTTCGAGTTCAAGTTCCCTACCAACGGAGGCTGGATGTATGACATATTGGTTTCCAAGGATGACAAAGAGACGAGGTCAGAGGAAGAGATAGAACCTCAAAGATATTTGCATCTACAATCTGATGTGCAAACTCGGCATTACTCTCGTTCCTTTTTCGCTTGTGGGTCTGATATATATATGAATGAGAAATATTATTGACCATGCCGGCCACGCCTTGTGCAGGCACCGAGTCATCTGTGGGCGTATATATCCTGAGGCGGTGAACATCACCGAGGACAGATTTGTGGAGATAGTCATGGGTTTCCTACTGGTAAGAACGAGAGAAAGAGCCGTGTTTTTGGTGATTTAATCTTATTCTCCATAAAGCTATATGTACACATCGTCCTGAACTCCTTGCACTAAGTTCAAATTCTCCATGCGCTTGGTGTTGCAGCACAAGAAGGTTCCAAGACGTACAGAGGGTCTGATGTCAGGCGATATGTTCCCCATCAACTACTTCGCAGTTTCAGAAGTTGCCCAACGATTCGATGACATGAAGGAATGGTTTGTCGGGGAGCTGCCCGAGACATACTGGCGGTTCAACAAGATCCACTCATACGGTCCCGCAGCTGATTCGGTCCCCGAATTGGGACCTGCAAATGTAACCACGTGGACTAATTAGTAGATCATTCTCGTTTCATCCTCTTCAGCGGCTCAACTGGTATCCCTTCCTGATGACATCGAAGCTGTTCTCCACCGCATACGGAGTTCACCTTTACAGTACCCTTTTCACGACGAAACGACACTGTTCTCAGATCTGCAAGTCAAAATCTTTTGTAGAATTAGCATTGTAGCATTGAGGTCGTTCTCTCTTTTCGAGAAGCACTTTCAGGTTCTTGCCGAGTTAGTGCGAAGATCAGCTTGCGAGCAAGCAAATGTTTTGCTAGGCTTAGTAGAGCTTCCACGAGAAGGACTCGATGGTTTCAACGGCATTCTGGCACCTCGTATTTAGTTAGAGTAGTTGTATATCGCTTCCTACTGCCACTTATGCATATGTTACATTGAGCAACTGGTGATAAAGTACAGGAAAAGATTCATGTCTCATCTACGACGTCACATTTTGTTGTTTGAGGGTTGATTGGTTGAAATTGGTGAACATTGTTGGTAAACGAGATCACGTAAATCCATCAGTCAAACAGCAGTCAAACATGATAGGATTGAACAGCCGCAGTGGTGTGTATGTGAACTCAACTTCACCTCGAGTTAGTGTATAAGTGAATAGGAAATGAGTCTACCGTGGAATTCTGCAACTTCAGGTGCATGGTTCTCTTTCTTGCTCGAGTCGAACAGAGTACCCCATTTTTCTCTAGGCACATGCCCATGTGGAAGGCTGCAAAATGTCATTCTAGCCCTCGAGAGTAGCGTTTATTTCTAGGCACACGAAAGCAACCTGTGTAGAGCACATTCAAGAAAGGGGCAAAACCTGGAGAGATGCATACTACAAAACCTGAGGAACAAAAATTTATGCTGTGGAGAGTACACCCACCAAGAGAATGCATGTAGTTGAAACTATATGAGGAGGATGAGTAATGCCTCAGTAACTGCATAGTGGGAGATATGTCCGACTGCACTTATGATAACGAACAATCTGAATTATATTTCGGGTATAAGAACAGAGTATCGAGGGATCATCAATTGGTATGATTAATCTCTTTTGGAGCTAACTATATAGTGTTTTTGGAGAGATTTGCTTGATGGGACCCCATCTAAAGGTAAATTGTTTGATGGTACCCATCAAGTTTCAATTTATCCGATGTGACCCCATGGAGGGTATGCCGTCATTGAGTTCTAGTAGGGTTATGTTCTTGTAAGAATATATAGCACCTCTTCAGAAAGCTGATCGATCATTCTAATATATTCTCGCGACATCACGCTATGAGATCTCAAGTCGAATAAAATTGGGTGCCCGAAGCTAAACTGTTCATAAGGCAGCGCTCGATCTAGCAAGCATACAAACTTAAACTTCCTCCTCTTGACGCCAGCAGCGGACCCAGCTATTTTTTCATCTTTCTCATTTTACCGTCCCATTCTTCCTAAGAAAACGGTTCAACAGGGCCAGACTCTACACAGGCGATGCGAAGGGATACCGAAGGTAACACGAAGTGTCATTCACGTACATCTTCTGTTCATATTAGAACAGTGTGACGAGTACCGTCGGTGGGGTCCCATTGGGTAAATTCAAACTTGATGGGTCCTATCAAGCAATTTAACCTTGGATATATCCCATCAAGCAAATATCTCGGTGTTCTTGATATGAAGTTCATATTTGAACAAAGTCTGTGCAATAATCTGAAATATGTCATATTTCTATTTTCTAGCAGGAAAAGTATTTGTTCACCAACGGTAACATTTTGTAGTCGGTGTTGACAGATGAGATAGACATGGTAACGAGATGCAACACGTGAAATCGGCGAGGAGTCGAATCGGAAGGAAGAAAAATTTGTCCACAAAATAATGCATAAGATTCGGAACCAATCTTCATAACGGAAGAAGTATAGTAACACCTCTTCGGTAACATCGTTCTAGCTAGGCCCCAATGGTATCACAATGGATAAAATGTACTACCACTAAATCATCCGAACTTTAAGCTCAAATTATCTACAAAGGTGAAAGAAATCAGAGAACACAAAAAGATGCAAAATAATATGAGAGTACAGCTCACGAAGGTGAGGAAGGCAAAAGTACCCTCAAACCAGAATTCGAACTTAGAAAAAGGTAGCCAAAATTCACAGTTCAGTGCTAGCTGTGGGGTTTGAACCCACGCATGCTATTGCATAGACGATCTTAAGTCGTCCCCCTTAGACCACTCGGGCAAGCTAGCTGGTTGACAGAGACAGCGAAGACAGATCTAAGATACTGTACAACTTGTAGGAAGGCAACTGTCCACTTGTGCTGCAAGAACCGTGGGCTCCACGGCGGTTCAGCTTTTTCAATTATCCACAATCCCGATGCGATAAGGGCCGTCCGATGAAGATCAGTAAATCCGCCGTAGTCGGGACCAACTACGCTATCCTGCCCTCACCGCGGCGCCGAAAGGGAACTGGATCGCTGTGGCAGCCGGTTTATCCGAAGAAGACGTGTTCTTCTTCGGATCAACCCGCCGCCCGTGACAAACCGGATTGACGCCCCGAGTTAAATTCTAACGCGAGAAGCCGAGAGCCAAGCGAAGCTCAACAAGCTGAGATTTAAAAGCTTAACAAGTCTATAAGATCACTGAAGAACTTCAATCCAACGATAGAAGCTCAGTGATTTGGGCCGTATCAACAGCTCCAGATGAATAATAGAAATAAATAATATCATAAAAGGAAGGAGTGTATGATTACTGGCTAATTGAAGTTAATTAAGTGGAGGAATTAGAGACCGGATTAGTGCAGAAGCTCCAGCTGTTGACTCAAGTTGGAGCCAGGGCACCGTCCAGTGAGGGGAAGTTTACTGCTCGTCAGACAGAAAGCGAGAAGAAAAGCAAGGCACGCGAGAAATATCTGCCCAGTCAGAAGAATCATTGATTCTGCACTTTATTTGCCCTGCACCGAAGACACCGCTTTTCCAGGATTCGCATAGCCTCCTGCTCCTACTCCCTCGCTCCCTCGCTCCCTCACCCGCACGAGGCCTTCTGTCTGCACGGCTTATTATGAGCTGAACGAGCAATTGGGCCGAGAACCTCTTGCTGCAACGCGTGAGCGAGCGTGGAGGATAGACTGGTGCGTCCGAAAGAGGTCGAATTTGTCTGCAGCCTGTGGAAGGGAGGGGGAACATTGGCTTGGACCGTCGAATTCGTGCAGTGAAGGGAGGAAGGAGGAGGAGGAGAATCAGAAGTGACGATTGCTCGTGTGGCATCAGTTGACTGTAATCAGTCTGAGTAATCGGAAGTTTTATACTGCGGGCCGAGTGGAGTGGAGCCTGCAGGAGCTATGGCGGCCAGCTGCCTGTGCTCGGGGCTGGTGCTGTCAGCTGCAGCTGGACCCCATAGAGATGTTTCCATACGCAGCTCTCGGGATGCTCAGGTTCTCAGAAGAGGAGGTCAGTTTTTCAAGCCTGTGTGCTCGAGCTCGAGTGAGCTTTTCGGAGCCGGAATGGTGTCTGAGTTGAGTTGCAGCAGATTGGTGAAACCCATTGGTGTCCGCTCGAGGACTTCCAGTGGGCGCATTCTGGGCGCCCTTGCACCCGAGCTGGATTCCAGGTAACGAGGGACTCTGGTTCTCTTCGGCTCGAGCATTCTGATTTTAAAAACTTCTTCTTCGTGCATTGCTTCCTCTGTACGAAGAAATTCGCACTGTCGTGGTCCGCCTTCACCGCCCTATCGCTTCTGCGTGGGAAGGCGAATATTAAATTGAATTAAACCTCGTTCGAGCATTCTCACGATTCCTATTCTGCACGAGCTGGGAACGGGAATAATTGATTCCACGAATAATGGCTTCGATTTCACACCGCTCTCGGTCTTTATCGTTGCCTCCGTGCGTGGCCTTTGGGAAGCAGGTTATTGGCGGAGGCGCCCAGCATTCTGGGAATAGTGAGAGGAGCAGAGTCCAAAGCTCTGCCGAGCTTCAAATGGCGCCGCGTGCTGTTGAAAGTCAGCGGAGAAGCTCTCGCAGGAGACGGCTCCGGAAACATCGACCCTAAGGTTCGTCTTCTCGACCGCAAGTTGTCGCCATTATCAGCTGCGAAATCACATCCTCGGCATTCGAACGCCCACCATGTCAATCAATCCTCGGCCACCATGGCAGCAGATGCACATAATTCTCGAAATTGCAATGTCCGGGTTTAAGAGGGTTTCTGCCAACAAGTCTCAAAATTCGCGTTCCCTGCATTCTTTTAGCTCCGTCATCCGAGTGCACCATTCTGAATTCAATTCAATTCAATTCGCTGCTGCTGCTGCTGCTGCTGCAGGTGACGATGTCCATAGCCCGAGAGGTCGCTGCAATCACTCGCTTGGGAGTCGAGGTACGTCTCTTCGTCCCTTCGTCCTCATCTCCCTGAATTGAATATGCCCTTCGGCTTTCTGCTGCCACGTGGCCATGCCTGGCGCTCTTGCCGTCTCGGAAAATTATTATCGGAATTAAATCCCGGTGCACGCGCAGGTTGCGATAGTCGTCGGCGGTGGCAATTTCTTCCGAGGCGCGTCGTGGGTCGGGTCCAGCGGATTGGATCGAGCGTCTGCGGACCACATTGGGTACTGCCCCACTTCCCCTATCCCATGATGTTGTTCCATGTAGGGACCGAGATTAGACTCACACACTTTAACTTTTCATCTGATCGCATTTAGAATGATCAGTCCATCCGTCCGACCACATTAATATTAATATCATTTGGAGAGGAGGCTTTATTGGAGGAAAGGGAAGGCAAGCTGTAAATTAATCTCCGGGATACATATAATGTCCGGTAGGATTTGGGACTTAGTACTGTCCTCAATTCGCGAGCCCAACAAAAGCGATCACGGTGGGACTCGAACCCACAATCTCCCGCTCCGGAGGCGAGCGCCTTATCCATTAGGCCACGCGATCTTGTTGTATGTGAAAGACGTTGGCCTGTTCTGATACTCTTAGTAGAAATCTTGCTCTTGCGTCTACAAAGGGCGTACGTGGGGATTTGGGTTCGAGAATACAGTATTGCAGTGCGTATGGTACAGATTTTCTGATGACACCGACGGCCCGGCAGTAGCCGGTGACCTTTCCAGAGGTGCACGGGCATGAACCGGTCGCACTGAGAACGGGGCAGAACAAAGTTTCTGGCGATTCGGAAGGTCGTCCAGGACTGAGAAATGTCGGAATTCGAGAGAGCCAATTGTGGATGCCATGTGAGACCTCGAGCGACCGCTCGATGATAACGATTTCTTTCGAAAGGAAGAGATCCGAAGCATGCATTCGATTAGTTGGACGGGAGTCGAGCAGATGCGCTGGATTAGATTAATTTTATGAGAAAGAAGATGAGATTTGAGATCTGAGGGAGAAGGAGCTTGCGGTGGCGTGGGAGACGGGCAATTCAATTCCGAGTCTAATTTGTGGGGAGGGCATGATGGATTGGTGTCAGGATGATGGCCACAGTCATGAATGCCATCTTTTTGCAGGCTTCCATGGAGAGCATCGGCGTGCCCACGCGAGTGATGACCGCCTTCCGCATGGCTGAAGTCGCCGAGCCTTACATCAGGCGTCGAGCCGTGCGTCACTTGGAGAAAGGGCGAGTGGTCATCTTCGGTGCGGGCACCGGCAACCCTTTCTTCACCACCGACACTGCCGCAGCTCTGCGGGCAGCCGAAAGTGAGTGTCTCTCCCCCCCCAATCGGTCGAGTATCGGGATACAATCCATCCCCAGGGCAGATTCTGAAGAGGGCCCGATTTTAGGGCTCAGGCTTCGATAGATCCAGGATTCCAGCTTTTCCTCGAGCATCACCTTTTCTTTCTTCGAATTAAAAACTTGAATCCTTCCTTTCTTTAACATCCAAACTTCGACAAAAATTTTCGCAGTCAACGCAGAGGTTGTGCTCAAGGCGACAAACGTGGACGGGGTTTATGACAGCGACCCACGGAAGAACCCCAACGCCATGCTGCTCGATCACGTATCTTACAGAGAGGTTGCCATCCAAGGTCTTTCAGTGATGGATATCACTGCCATAACCTTGTGTCAAGAAAATTGTATCCCTGGTGAGCCCCGCAACCGAATACCTGTCGTCTTGGAGCCTTGTGTTCTTCGCATTCGCATACATGTTTTCTTTGGATCGATCTTTGCGAGAATAATGATAGACCAGAAAACCGTCGAGTTGCTGCGTGCGGTGTCGCCCTTGTTTGGATGCTTACTTATGCGCACGATGTGCTGCAGTTGTGGTCTTCAACCTCAATGAAGCGGGCAATATCTCAAAAGCTCTGAGCGGCGAACGAATTGGTACCCTGATCGACAACGAAGGTGTCGACCACTTCAAAATACCCAAGACCGCAGAAGTAGGAAAACCATCATAGTTTATGTTCGTTACCTGTTTTGGTACACAAATTATAAATTAGTATAAAAGTATAGATGAAAATGAGTCATCAATTTGGCCACTCCTTAGAAGCTACAAATACAATCATCAAGAAGATTCAGCACGAAGGAACAGACTCGAAATTACACACCTAGTCTAGGTAGCCGGAATCATTAATATTTTTTTCGAAGACCATTCGTGGTCAAAACATGCAAGAAGTTCCTTTCTTGCATCTTGTTCTTCAAGAAATGCAAGACATGAAAGACATGAGAGTTGGACGAGAAACTGTTGACGCATCGAGTGACTTGTATCCCGAAAGTTGAGCCGAAAGGTGAAAATGGCAGTCCGTCACAGCCCAAGTAGCAGTTCTTGCTGGAGAAATTTGAGATTCGATCATGTAATGAAGCCTGTTTGGGCGGTCCTGGTTCATTGTAATGTGTCGATTGCAGGCCTCCAGTAGGTAGTAGGTTGCTGCTGCAGAGCGGCGACAGGAAGAACAGGACGGATCTCAGTAAACCTCGATAGGAATGTCTATGACAAGGTGAAACATCAAGGAGGGACATGAGAATGTACCATCAAGCCTTACAAGGAAGATTCGAAGCTCGAAACTATAGTGAGACTGTTGGGGCTTGCCCAAATAGCATCAACATAGATATCCATATCACCTGACACATCTGAACTATAAAGATAACTCCTGTTTATAAACGACATAAACATCTGACAGTGATCTAACATGACTGCTCTCTTATAAACCCCACATTCTGTTCGGCAATGAAAAGAATCGTTGACAGATCCACTGCTGATCATGTGTGAAACGGTTTTCGAAAGATGAAATTATATGACGCAAGGGGATTTCCGATTTGTAGCATACTCGAAGGACAGTAACTTCTAGCTTGCGAATATGACTACTGTATTTCAAAGTCCCCTCATTGTTTAAAAGAGAATATGCTGCACTTGGGAAGCGAATGGATCACGCTCGGAAGCATCAATCTTGTTCATAAACGATGATTTCACAGAAATCGATGTAATGTGAAACAAACAATGGTCACTCTGCGGGATCCAAAGGAGACTTCCTCAAGTGAGTCCTGGTCTCGAAACGTGTCAACGATTCCACAGCGTCGTCATGATCTAACCTTCCGAGAACCGATAACACTTATGATATGTAAAAATAAAGTAAATTAATATAAAAACACACGAATTATTTTTAAACAATTTTTATTAAACAATTCATCATATTTCGTATTAAATTTCTGATAATCAATAACACGTAAAATATATAAAAGTAAAATAAATTAATGTAAAAAAATATGAATTTTAATTTCTTTAAAAATTATCTGTATTATAAAATTTATTTTATTTCGTATCAAAATTCTAATAACCAATAACACTTAAAATATGTAAAATTAAAAAAAGTTAATTTAAAAAAACGTGAAATATATTTTCTTCCAAAATAATTTTCAATACAATTTTTTTTATTTTTCGTATTAAATTTCTGATAACCAATAACACGTTAAATATAAAAAACTAAAGAAAATGAAAAAAACACGAATTTTAATTTCTTCCAAAATAGATTTTAATACACAAATAATTATATTTCGTCGTGTGTTATATTTAGTCTTCTTCCGATATTGTCCTTTCAACCCTGTCCGATGCCAGGGTTCGTTCTTCTACTCTGTTCTTCTGATACACGAGGAGATGAGGAAGATAACGAAGATGAGAACGTGGTCACATACGCCCGAAAATGAAGCCGACGGTTTGGGGAATCCAAGTCAGTGCTGACGGGACACAATCCGGCATCCGTCCTGGAAGCCCCCCCTCGGACAAAGCTCGGGCCGACTTGCTGTTCACATCCGCGAGACAGATGTCGGTCTCAGCGGCGTCAGAAACTTGTCCGTGAACCCAGCTTAACAAACGCAGATATCAGATCTGCACGTGGCGAGCTCCGAGCAGAGCACGCGTCGAGCAACGAACCGATGTGAACACCTGGCGGTGACATGGCAGAACCCACGGTATGGAAGCCCCATTCATTCCCGCAGGCCGACCTCAGTCAGCAGGGGAAACAGATCGCAGGGCATTCGTTTATAAGACTCGATGTTGTCCCAGACTCTTCATTCTGTGGTCGATCCAACAGTCTAGTCAAGCCAGTTGAAAGAAACGCAGCCGAGTCGACGCGTGCAGCAGAAGCAGCAATCGAGCTCAGAACTCGGAAACACATCGAGCTTCAGGCCCTGTGATCTTCAGAGGTGGAAGAGATTCCCGTTCTGGTGGTAGATCGCACCGAGTCGTAATCGTTTCCGGTCGAAGAAGAGACAGAGAAGATTTGAGAGAGGAATTGCAAGAAGTGCAGCGAGCAGGATCAGAAAGAGAAAAAAATCTCTGCAGCATGGCGGGTTATTTGGGAGGGATGGTACAGCAGAGACGCGGCGAGGACGAGCGCACGTCGGAGGAGGAGCAGCAGCCGCAAGCAGCAGCCTCGGGTAGGGAGTTCCGAGACAGTCCCATGGAGCAACAGCATGTGGGTCGGGATGCCCCGACGTCGCAAGTCGGATATGGAGGAGGAGATCGCACGGCCGAGTACGTTCACTATCCTCCGGCGCAAGACGCAGAATCCGTCGTCGAGAGGAACGACGAGCTCGAAGAAGGCCAGGCTCACGGAGGGCGATTCGTAGGTGGTCATGGAATCACCGATCCTCGATTGTCTGCAGACCAGCCTCTATCGAATCCCCAAGCTCTCGGCCTCCCCGACTATGGAGGCAATGCCGGCCGCCCCACCGAGTCCCACTACAGCTCGTCTGACAGAAATGTCGACCCCCCCGCAGCCAAGTCGGGCCATGGCGCATACGCTGGAGAGGGAGCGGCGCAAAGATCGTCCTCCGAATATGGGACGACCGATGCGAATGCGAGACCCTCGGAGGCTGGGGACGGCGTCTCGGGACCCGGAGGGTATGCCGGTGAGGGAGGCTCGAAGGTGACCGGGTACGGTACTTGCGACGGGAACGCGTTCCCCAGCGAAGCGGGAACGGGGGTGTCCTCCGAGGGAGGATACGCCGGTGAGGGCGGTGCGCAGAGGTCCTTCTCCTCGCAGGAGTCGCCCTATGGAAGCTCGGTCCCCAACGCGAAGCCGTCGGAGGCCGGGACCGGGACCTCGGCCCTCGGAGGTTATGCGGGCGAGGGTGGCGCACAGAGGGACGCCGACCGGTCCTTCCCAGTGACGCACAAGTCGCAGCACGTCCAGGACTCGAGCTCGGAGTTCGGTCTGCCGACGCCCATGCGGCCTCCTGGTGCACCAGCGCTCTTGGACGAGCAGCATCTCGATGGGCCCAAATACGGCCGAGACTCCGATTCCTCGACGGCAGGCGATGAATTTCGACCCGCAGGCTTGCAGGAGGATGAAGTTCGAGCTGGGGTTCCTCATGGTGTGGTGTCAGGGCACCCTTCAGGAGCGGGCCAGGAGAATTATGGAGCTGGTGAAGTGGGCAAAGTGGGACATCAAGATGCGCAGCCACATGAGTATCATCAGACTGGATCGTTTCCCAGTCATGGTGGATCTGCTTACAGCCAGGAGTACACCCAACCCGACGCGCCCGATACTCGTTTCTCTGACCTCCAAGGTAAAATCAGATTCAGATTCATTCTGGTCTGCCTAATTTCGTTTCGTTTAAACATAGTCAATGATACTTCAATTTCACATTTTGTACATTTATCGATAATGTGATGTAACCTGTAGAGCTCATGGTGGTGGGGTATGTGGAAGACTCTCACAACCATCTTGTATCGGATCGATCATGAGATTGAAAGTATGAAAACTAAATTTTGACATTGATTGCAATACAGGGGTTGATCATCATCAGACGTCCTCGAAGCACAGTCCGGCCGAAACGACGAATATGACGCCGACGGCTGTAGATGGCAATACGCACCAGGAGGAAGGATTCATGGCCAAACTCAAGAGCCATCTCCCAGGACACAAGCAGCACCATGCGCCCATGAATGTTGATACCAAGCCTGCTACGGATCCTACTACTCCTGGGGCTGAGCACGAGAAGCCGAGTTTCATGGAGAAGATCAAAGACAAGCTGTCACCCGGTCATCACAACAAGCAGACGACTGAGCAGAAATTTTGAGGAATGGAATGCCGTGCGTGATTTGTGAGCGGCTTTTCGTTAGCCCAGTTTGTATCATAAGAGTAGACTGTACATACCACAGAATCGATTATCCGCCGTTTTGTTTCTAGCGAACAGTTTTGGCGTGGATGATCGGCAAGTTTATCTCGACTGTGAGTGGGCCCGAACATCTATGTTCCATGTCTTTCATAAAGGATAATCTGAACAGTGTAGCAGAAACAAATATGGCAAAGTACATGTAATAAATATGACTAATTGTTACCGTTCATTCAACTTTACTATCCTCACATGCCTCACCCTCACGAATGTTGTACCATTGAACGCTGTTGTCATTTCCATTTTATGTGATCTCCATTCTCCATCTCGATCATCATCTAGTTTTATTGTAAATACGTTCTGAGGTGCAAACGATTGGTTCTTGAACCCAATTTCGAAACAGGTCAAATATGTGTGTTAATTATGTAATTTTGAAAGGTGTTGTTATCACATTTTCGATTTAATGCATGGAGTTTGTCTGATATATTAAAAACACCCGATTATTTAACGGCAAAATCAATTACCTTTATGTTAGATCAAAATGTTATTACAACCATACCCCTTCGTCACACATAAGTGAACACTTTACAAAACTACTTATCAGTGAAAATAAGCTGTTACAAATCTATTCTTCCCCATTCTTTCTACTCTACTTGGCGAATAGGAACGAACTATTTGATTCTTATTCGTCTCTAAATATACCCCAGTACCATTGTAATTGATCATCGTAACACATTGCACTGCCTCATTGTCTAGCCCTGACACAAAAAAATGCTTTCTTCTTCGGAATATAGTGAGAGAAGTAGAAGTGCAGGCAGAAGTGATGTAAGTAGAAAACCCTGACAAGGTCGTCAAACGATTGAATGTCGCGTAATATAGCCTGCGAATGTTGGCATACCGAATCATCCAAATGACAATAAAAAGTCAAAATCCATCAGCAGTCGAAGCATCCTGTACACTGAGCATCGGCCGCTATGTTCTAGGTAGTTCATGCATCAGCTGGAAATGCGGGACTGGGCCTGCAGAAGAGGAGTTGTATCGTCTGGACCGAAATCTGCTGCTGCATCTCTCAAACTTCTTTGTCTCTCGAGCTGTCCTGGACCTGCAATGAATTACGGCCTTAGTAAGAAACAAGTTGCAGGAAAAGCTTTGGAACCCTGGAACTTTCGGCCAGGAGCTAATTAAGAATTCTGAACGCTTGAAAACAAATTCAGTCTCGTGAATGAGGAAGTGCATGTGAGCTGCTCGGCTATCGAATATCTAAAAGATTAAGCGAAGAGCTCGATCAACATCTCACAGGCGTGACATGAGTGACAGTACCTCTCTCATAGAAGAAGGAGAAGAAGCAGGGAAGGCATGGAAAGCAGCTCCAGCCTTTTTCATCCTCCGGATCCGTGGCGTCATCGACAATCACGCTGGTGGGCGAATGTGGCGGAGATTGTGATCGTATGCATTCTTTGTGCGCGTCGTACACCTCGTGGCGGCGCTTAATCACACTGCTTATGGCCTTCTCACAGCTTTTGCGAGCTTTGGCCAGACGATGCGCATCGTCCGTCGTACTCGATCTTTTTCTCTTTCGGATGATCAGTCGCTTGGTCACGCACGAGTCGCAAACTGGGCACGTCAACTCGTGAGTTTGTTGATGTCTGAGTATTCTCTCAATCTCATCTTCCAGCTCATCGCACTCACTCCGAGCCCCTGGTCTCATGCTTGTCTCTCGAATCGCCGAACACAATATTATAAAATTCCCACAATTCCACAGAGAGACCGCTTCCTGTCCCCCTTACGATCAGTGCTTGCTGGAATTTACAGAAGCTGCCAGTGGGTTGCAAAACTTCCCCTCTCCATCAACAGAGAGGACAGCAATACAGTGGTCGAGGAAGAGAAGTTCGAGTTTCTTTGAAATTGGTAAGGTCTTTAAGCTGATGCATGGATGGCTTCGAAGTAGTACATGCTCATCATCCGGTCGAGCAAGTTTTCCCGTGAGTTAAAGCGAGCAAGGACAGCTTGAATCTTGATGTGATTAGCCGGCTGCGAGTTGTGGGCTGTACGAATTGAGTCATGAGAAACGCATGCTTGCTTGCGGTTCCGGATGAGCAAGACCTGTTCGGGACGCCGGCACCATATCCGTCTGTCCAAATTGTACCATATGGGTTTGACAATTTTCACTAGAAGACACAGCTCAATCATAAAGTAATTGCTGCTTCGGACGACCAGGACGAGCAGCTGTTGAATTCGAGAAGACTTTCACGAGTCGGACACCGTTTGGAGCAACGCTTTACAGCTGCGTGCATGCAATTAGCTCTGAACGTCGTTGTTTCTCGAAGTCCATCATTATCTCTTCAGGCTGAATATGGCTGATTCTCACCAGGACCTGATTCAAGCAACGATCCGCAGACTGCCACAAGTGCTGTGAGAATGAATATGTGGGTGCCCTTTGAGCCTGCATTCATCAATGTCTACTGCACTATTTGCTCGAAGAGTTTTATCTCACTGTCGTTTTCACGTCGTACAAGATTTCCTGGATATGGAATTATCCATCTCGAGTACAGTACTGGTGATAACTCCAAGTGCATTTTCTAACAAAAAAGTTTCATGTACATTTGTAGAATCTCATTAGCAAAGGGATCACATTCTTACCTCAAGATACTTCGTGCACAGATACTTAAAGGAGAGGTACTGTCCAATGCATGCATTGTACGTTGGGAACCTTGTGAAATCGCTGCTTGGGATTTCTTTCCACTGGACAGTATCCGCCACTAAGTGGATTATCTTCAACGAAAATACGTTTTGCATATTTCCTCTATTACAGTAACGGCAAAGGAGTAACATTAAAGAAGCCCTCTAATATTATGATGTAAAACAACCAGTCTGCAACTAGATTCCAGTAAATCTCTAACTGGTGGGATCAAATACCAACACCTTATATGCTCTTAACTCGACTGGAGTACACACTGTTGCACTTGAGTTTCCACATCAGTGAATAAATACTCAGTAAATGAGTCAGTCCAAGTGTCCATTTGTTTAGGTTGTGGGCAGAGATAATGATTCTACTGTACATGGAAGAAGAGGATGAGAATATATTCTAAATTCTAAGCAGACGAGGCCTTTGCGAGCATGCAAATGGTGCTAATTCGTCATTAAGACCCTGAGGAGTTCAAACTACGGGCCACAGAAAGACAATGTTGCAGTTGGTCACAACAGTCTCGATGTTGAGGACAAGGGGATGAAGCATACTCTTTCGTCTTCTATGGAGACGGTCGCATGGAGTACAGTGGTCATTATTCACTTATCAGTGAGAGTGATGAGTGATATGTTATCACTCATTATGAAAGACAAAGTATTGATTTTGTCACCTCAATAACTCCCCAATCCTGAAGAGTTATTGATGGTAAATTCTATGGTTGATCACATCTATCATCATTTATGCGAGCTGATCTACTTGAAGAGTAAAGGTTCAATAAAAACAATCACAAATTGTGAATTCTTACTATGAAGTGTTGATAACGAAATTTGCGATTATTGCGTTTAAACTGAACTGCTCGGAGATGGTGAGCGATTCATGCTCGGGCATAAATCTCCAGCACAAGCAACGAGATCTACCACTTCAATGGCTTGTGTCATTCCTGTAAAAATCGAAGTCAAGACAAGGTTAAAGCAACTATGAAACGTATAGGTCTATGTCGGTGAAAGCACCTGTTCGTGGCACTTGAAAGTTTTCACACATCAATCATATGTCACAATGGGCTTGATACCTTAAAAAACGAGAATTATTATCACAAAATTGCCTACCACTAGATTGACTCGAGCCCCTCTAATCATCTTAGTTCACAAAGAAAGTTGGGTGTCAGTATCAATATATGAAGTTTCTGTTATGATCATGTTAGAAGGTGAATCTATAATTGCTACAAGGAACTATTTTATCTCAAGCTATGGATCAAGAGGTGAACGAGAAGCTCGAGTATTATCAAAGATTTACCTCATAGGAAAGAAATTTCTGTCAGTCTGGTACACATTATCAAAATTACAACATCTACAAATGAACTCACGTTTCATGATTTTGCGGTGTAATAATATTTTGTTTTCAAACGTGCACTTTGGTTTAGATACAAGTGGTGAAATCTTGTCTGAAGTATGTGTTGACGAAGATGAACATGCAAAGTCTAAACATTTCAACTGTGTCATCAACGCTTTTTACAGTATTATGTTCAAACACATCTATGGCTATACATGTTGGAGTGATTATTGTAACATTATATCTTCCTCGTGTTCTTCCTATAACTACTAACAATGCCATCTAATATTTACACCATACGGATGCTCTTTTTACACCAATTTTTTTTAATTTGAGTAAGAACATTTCCTTGATATTGTACAATGCGTTAACACAAAATTCAATGCCCGAAAAAATAACTCCTATTTTGCTAAATTGAACGATAGTCAATAAAGAAAAACAATTTGAATATATGCGGAGGAATTACGGACATCACATTCTGAGTGAAAATCTTGGAAAGTTTTGAGATATATCAAACTTCTGCCCCATACCCATCATAGTAATATGAAGTAGCGAATCACATGAATCATATTAGGGAAGGCTGAAGATACCTTTACACGCCAAAGATTTAGGCTTGTGGCTATGGAAATGAGATTGTAGTAACTATTGTGTACCAAAAAAATGCTTATATGCAAGTTTGTTGCAAGGATCTACATCTCTATTCAAGGTTTGATATGGTATTAAATAAAAATAATAGTTTCTTATGCTCGTTTTGTTTTATCTATGACCGTTGTGCTTAGCTCAAGCTAAAAAGTATGTCATATATATGTGATTGTAATCATGAGTTGTTGAAAGCATCAATTCTCTTATATTTAACCATTGAACAGTTTGGGAAGAGTCAACATATTCTTCTTTTGTATTAGAAAGGCCAAAAGTTGATGACTATATGTACTTCGTTATTATTAGAAATTTTTTTATACTGTCCCTCTAAGTTGAAGATAATATAGTTGATGATAGTTATCATTTAGAGAGATTCATCCAAAAAAAGGAAAAAAAATTTGACACAAAGAAAGTTACCGTTTGCCTGCAGTAAGTTTCTCCAACATGTGTGGCATCACTCTGAGTAGCATTGTTGTTGACTATAAATACCTGATGCCCAACTAGCTCTTGTTGATGTAAGATCGAAGTGCAAGACTTGAATTTAATCAGAGGTATCAGTGTACTCATTTTGAGGTTTAGCGTGGCTGATTTGTTGGTCAAGATAGATGGACCTCGGAATTCTCGAGTTGCTATCGTGCGAGATGATATTTGTTGTTTATTTGTTATTGGGATGAGAATCTATCACATACTTGGAAGAGTCTCAAATGGCCAGAGTCGTGTTTTCCTAACGCATATTCCAAGCTCAATGGAAATGAAACTCGAAGTAATGCTGTCTCCCATTCTCTTTCTATCATAGTGTAATATATCAAATTCTCTATATATCAGGGCCACCATTTTACTTCAAATCTGCATCCCATCCAATCCAGACCAGACCATAACCATCAGCAGCAACCTAACCCAACCCATAGCATTACCTGTGCCCACCCATGCTACTCAAATTACGCAAATTCCTGGTTGGATCTTGACAACCACTGCCCTTAGCCCTTACTTGTGCCCACCCATGGAAAAATAATGTCATCCAAAACCCACCCAAAACCCATGAGCATGGGTATGGGCACCCAATGTTGGGCTCTGAAATAAACTCGGGTATATGTACTTAACTGTCAAATTATTATTCCCATCTCGTCCAGTCACGCGTATTTTATCAAATTTGTATGTGGCTCGTGCAAGGGCTCGTAAACCTCTAATTAACATGCTCCCTCCCAACGGGCAAGAATGTGACATCGATCGATCGACTGCATCAGAGTTGCATCTGGACGTGGCGGCGGGCGTGGAATGTGCAAGAGAGGCCGACGATGCACGACACATGAACGCGAGATGGAGCGGAAAATTCAGAGCGGAGAATTTGCAATTGGACAGCACGAGGCATGAACGCGAGATAGAGCGGACAATTTGCAATTGGACAGAGGGTCAGGGCGGGGCGGGGCGGGGCAGGGCAGGGCAGGGCATGGCATGGCACAGACGCAGGCTTGAAGGTGCTTCTTGCTTCGCAGTCGAGCATGGACGATGACACGGCGGCTTGAGCCAGTCGCGGCGGATGTCGAGTGGCGTATACTAGCGCTTGCCACCATCACGCGGTATGGGCAGAATGTGTTTTCTCAATGTCCAGATTACCACCACCATTGCTTGGAAATGCTCGGATTGCTTGACCACCACGTTCTCTCTTGCGCAAATCTCCCCGTTTGTTTTTGACACAGTTGTGGTATAGTAGTTTGTTTTGATGAATGAAGAGAACAAGGGCCATTTTTGTTTGCAAGAAGGCGCCATTCACTGAAGGTGTTTGTCGGGAAACCTTCATCAGGTTCAGTGCCATAGTTTCAATGGGGTCTGGGCAGTAGAGGCGAAATTATGGAGAAGTTTGAGATGTGAAACGTGAATATGAAACCAGGTCGTGATTATGGAAAGTCTTGTTTGGAAAAATCAAGCACGAAAACGTCACCATGTGTTTGAGTTTCAGTACGTTATCGTACTTGAGCTCCAATTCGATTTGGGTAGACTTTTTGTGGTCTATACTGATCGTCGTTTACCCTTCGCCGGGGCCTATTCTGTAAGAGCATTCTGACATAGATGGTATCAATCGGTGGATTGTGGCAGAGAGAGGATCACAGGAGTTAAATGTTCTGTGTCGAGCGGGCCATCAGCGAGCTAAACCCTACCATCCGAGCAGTCAGCTCCATCTCGCCCCATATACTCATATAGGACATTAACATCCAGTCAGTCGACGACTAAATTTTCTAGCTACTTGTCGATAAATCGTTTAGAGGGGAGCAGTGGCTAGGGTTAGCTGAGAATCTGCGCAAGTTTTCGAAATGCCCCGTTATACGACTTCGCAGACGTATACGGATGGAAACACGCAGATTGTAGCTTTGCCAGAACAAAACCAGGTTCAGGGTACCGGTAACCAAATTGTTGAATATAGAGGAGATGGAGCTGTAGCTGACAGAAAGGATGATGAAGACTTGGAGGAGAAGTTACGGCGTATCAGTGAGCAGGTGCCAGTTCGCATCAGCAATACTTCAGGCAGTTCTGCTGGTTCTGGCTCTGGAGACTTTCATCAGGTATTTCTTCTAAACTGTACACACGTTCACGAAGTCACTAAAGATCCTTCCCCTCTGAGAAGAGATATGGGGACTTCTCTGACATTCAACATCCTAAGCGATTCAATTTATCTGCTCACTTCTCTCAGTTGCCTCTGTTTCTGAGCTTCAAAAGAAGGAAAGTATTGTCAAAAAGAATTTCGCCCAAACAATACTTTACATATCTCTGATGAAGGAAGAAGAGTTTGATTTTGATTTTGATTTCTGGCACTTGAATTCGCTTACGTTTATGTTTTCGTCAACCACTGGGAACGTTCTGATGATCACATTTGATTTCGGGAATCAGTATCGACAAATGCGACGAAGAGAGCAGGATCGTTTGTCCCGGATGGAGCTCGATTATATCAAAAGGAAAGAGGAAACCGAATTTTTGGCCCGACGTGAGGAGAGGATTCTCGCTGCCGAGGAACGTACAGCCAAGAAAAGAGCGAGGCGCTTGAAGAAGAAGGAGAATAAAAGGGCTAAAAGGCCGCCAAGACCACCTACAGATCAACCTAGTTCTGGGCAGAGGAATGAAGAAGATTCCTCGAATGACGAAGAAAACCCCGATGATAAGCAGACAAAGAGCAATACAGGTGGAGGAAACATCTCGCAGGATAGGACTGCTGTCGCAACTCCTCATGTTTTTTCTAAGTCACGGTGATTGCAATTTTTTAAAAGTACTCACCTTTCAGTCGCTGTAGTTTGGGTAGGAAACATCTAGAAGAGTAACTTCTGTCTTCCAGGTGCTCAGGGATGTATCTAAACTTTGAGAAATAGAATAGCAATGCTCCTCGTTTTGCAACTAGCTATCAACCCGCTGCTCAGAATATCATACCTTAATCGCAAGGATATGGGAAGAGGAAGGGCAGCACAAATAGGACGGTCTTTCTTTCTTATGAAATCACTTCTGCCATTTGTAATTTGTGGCAACGTGTTGGTTGCTAAGATGTTGGGCTGTTTTTGTCAATTGCGTCTCACTTGGCGTGCATCATCGCAGTACTGCATCATGAGCACGTTCGTACCTGCCTTTGCACGTTACTGAGTCCCATCCGCGACGTGGGACTTCCAAGTCTGTACATTTTTGCAATCAGTTTTGACCGAGTTTCGATTATTCAAGGAGGAAAGACTTCAATCAGGACAATTACGTGTGCTCTTCTTCTAAGATGGTTATCTAGTTTTCAAAGGGATTCCTCCTCACCTCCGGAATTCTGTTTGATCATGCGACTCTTAGGAGTCTTCACAGCATTTTCTGACGAATCCAGCTATACAGTACCATGAGATGAACCCTTTGAGTGTAATTCAGGGAAAGGTCAAGGTATGGTACAAAGTCAAACGCTGCCGAAGCCCATAATGCTAATCATTCTGTGGTTTATGACATGACTGGCCAGCTCGTTCATTTCTTCTTATATCATTTTCCTTTGGAACTGCAATCACTCAAACCTTTTGCAGAAACTGTCTTGTTCTGAGCTACGCAGTGTAGATTATGTGTTTCTCTCAGCCTACCCTCGGAATGTACCGAATCTCATGACAAAGGTGTATGAGTTGAGTTGCTTGAATCTCATACTACGTATACGCCTCAGGTGCTAGAGAAGACGGCCTCGGGTATTGAGTTGAGTTCTGTTCTGGGTTGGAAATGTTTCCACGGTTCTATCTTGTAAGTTTTCAAAATTTGGATGACTGTTTTTATTACCTTCATCCACCTACAATGTAGCCATTGTAGGTAGATGAAGCCTTCTTCCTCTTTTTATGTTTGTGCGTGCGTGTAATGGGATGCTTGTTCTGATCTCGAACTGGCACAACGGAAATACCACCTTGTAAGTTGTGGATGGATTCTTCAGTGTATAATTCGTTATGTTTTTGTTTTGCTTTACTGCTTTGTCTATCCGAAGATAATGTCTTTATGTAAGCAATCAGCTTTTTGACTTTCCGTATTCAATTTCACATTATGTTACGCCTGCTTATTCAGCTAGTAAAGTGTGTAAAGTAATTGAGACGAAAACAAAATAAAAATATAATAACACAAGGAAACATACATTTAGTAAATTACATCAAACCATTCTGTTTCAAGAAAGGTACATTTCCACGGAATTTCTGGTTTTCAATTTCACTACCTTTCTCAAGGTTCTTTTATTTTCAATCGCAGTATAATAAATCATTTCATAGTTTGAAGTCAACCAAGATGCGTGTCAACTGGCTTCTGTGTGCTTTCTTTTGATTCTGACGTCTTTGCTGAAATTGCTATCCACAGTTGTACCGTGGTACAAAGTTTAGGAAGAAATGTTTCAACCGTATATTTATAGCAATAATGTGGTTTGTGATACTTTCATTAACAATCATGTTATTTAATGGTGATTAGTTTCGAACGGGCAAGTTTGGTCACGTTGATAAATATAGGCGATTACATTTAGATTTACGGAACTTTATGTCACATCATCGAGTATGATATGAGTATCAAATGATTACGTTTGATTGTGCTTGACGTGTTCTTGAGTCTCATGGAAGTTATCGGTAGTGGTGCAAATCATAGAATTTAGAACATGAATCTAGAGTGCAAGAACCATGGTATGTGAATAATCCCAAGGTGAAGTTATCTTCTATTTCGGGTATAGTGACAAGCATATTTTCTATTTGAGGCCTAAGAAAAATTTAACTACATGTCCATCATTCGAACTTTGAATCCATAAATGCAAATTTTGAAGTGTTGTGCGATCAAAATTAAATTTTTGACTCAAATGCAATTGGTAACTGAGAAGAAGGATTGGAAGATATTGACGTATCCATTAGTACATATCATACTCAAGGTAAGTGGATGAGTTAGATTTTTTTATATGTCGAGGATTTAACTATTTCAAATAAAAACTCCATATAATATTAACTATGTGGAAAACATCACATCAATCTTACATTAAAAAAATTTATACCAAATAAACATAAAAATAAAATAAAATAAAAAATTATATATACAAAATATCTATCAATTCAATGGTTTTTTAAAATCTTTATATCATGTACACAATATCTTATATATCAATAGGGAGCGGCTAGTTATCCCTCACCTTGGGCTAATTAGCCATCACACTAGTATACAGACTTTAGTCATTGGACGGATAGGTCTATAGGGTCCGTTTGGAAAAATATAAAATTTGCGACTACATTTCTTTCTAATGCACTCCAAAGATGCCATGATATCACCTGTCACATAAGAAGCTGACTGCCACCTCCGCGATTTAAAAGGCACGTCAAGGTTCCTTGTGGGTGAGAACAAGATGCACAAGTGACAGTTTAAACATTAGTGTTCAATGCAAATGCGTCGAATAACTCAATGACTACATTAGTGTTCAATGCAAATGCGTCGAATAACTCAATGACTACATTAAACCTTTCGCTACGTTTCACTGCACATGCTTTTTGTCCCAGTTTGATGGAATAGCTCAATGGGATATAGATACTGTGGCTGCAGTAGGATTTTTGAAACAATTAGGGATGTTAATTTTTCGCACATGATCACTTTTGTAATGCCTAACATAGAATGTCCAGAAAAAGTCACCCCCACCGCACTTGCATTGAACAACAACTAATCCTAACACCACTTGTGACTTCACAAAAAATTCCAACCCACCAGTCCGTTTTTTAATCACTTTGAACCTTGATGCGACGTTTAGATCGTGGAATTGGCAATCAGCTTCTTTCGTGGCAGGTGACTCCATGTCATCTTTGGAATACATTAGAAATAGCTGTAATCGCGAACTTCAACTTTTTCCACACGGACCATATACTGTCTGTATACTTAGGTTGAAGATTAATCAGCCCCTGGTGATATATCTAAATATTAATATCGTAATATTTCATATAAATATATTTATATATATCACCGGGGGTTATACTATACCCATATACAGGGGCTATATAACGATATTTATATATAATACGATAGGTTCAGATATATATTTACGATATAAAATATATAGCTATAAATAAGTATATAAACTTATCAAAATGTATGTACAACACTAAATATGTCAAATATAGAATTGACAATAAATATTGATGTAAAATACACAAGTGTTAAGAAATATTTACATGGTAAAAAATACCAAAATGCAATACCACTTGGAAAGAAACTTGACATTGCCATACCGGTAGAAACTTTTTTTCCATTAATATAATAAAACTATTTTATTATATCGTTGAAGCTGCTCAAGGACCGAAGCAGACGAGAATGATCTCACGACAGCGATGACGCACTCTGTGATGCGCTTGGACATGGCGACGTGGATCAGATCAGATGGTCTTCGAGCCATTCGTAGCATGGAGTGGAACCAAATCAGACAGTGACACTTTGCTCTCAGCCATTTCGACGACGAGCGAGGTGAATGTGGATTTTCTCGAGTGTTTGTTTGTTTAGTATCTGAAGAATAGCACCGGAAGGTTTAAGAGTTGTGGTGACAGGAAATGTTGCAAATGTACCCGAGAATCGCCGCGTCTGTCGTAATTGGACGCTGAAGGTCGATCGATTGTCTTCGACTACCACCATTTCATTCGGCGAGGCTCGGTAGGGTTTGGCAAATGGCTGGGACAGTTGTTGGAGTTCATTGCGCTGAATTTCATGCGAGTGCTGCAATTGGCAAATCATGTTCACTGACTGCTGGAGACTCTAGTCTAACTGTCGAGAGGAGGTAGGTCACGAGAGAATCTCAGCGCAAGTCGGGTTGCTTGTCGATCCAGTCTTGACAAATTGCTGCTTGTGATCACAGTCAGTTACGATCGTGAATGAAAGGATGGTAGGCAATCGTATTGGACATTCGCACGAGGAATTGGACGTACTGCACTCTTTGCAAACCAGATCAATCCTCGGACTTTTTCTTTGACAGCTAGATTGGCCTCACGAAGAAGACTCAAAATCTGACCCGAGCAGCAGAAAGCCAGGAGGCCAATTTGACTCGACACAGCGAGAATCAGAAGGTTTACGAGTCGTCCATATCACTGCCCTTGAGAAATTTGGATCAGAACAACAGAGTCGTCAAACTTAAGCCTCCGTCGCGGCGGTGTAGAGTGCCGTAGTGTGAAAAGTCTCTCAAAGTTTTGGGTTTAGGGTGGATCAGCACCTCACCTTCCGTATCGACGCCATCGCAGACTTTGCAAGAGTCAAGTGGCCTGCCATGACCTAATGAAAACGAGTCTTGCTTACAAATCTCACAAATACGCTTCCTACAATTTGTGGGAATTGGCCTCTCTAGATCTCTTAAGCCAGAGTTTGTGTTTAATTCATGGCATTCATGTGACCTGCACAAGCGTGTGATTCCGTGTGTAGAGATAGAATTCCCCTGTCCTCGACATGAGAACATCACCGCAGATGAGACCATAAAGCAGTCGCTGCTTTGAGGATGCTATAAATTTACAAAAGAATCGGATTACATGTGACCACATAGATATAGACATGATGGTGAAGCACCGGACCAATTATCGTACTGATGATTTGGTTCGCATGGTGCCCAGTACAGAACGAATGTCATGCTGACAGGTGCCCGGATTTGTGAAAATCGGTAACGGAGGATGCTGCTTACCTTCACTGACTGAAAGAGCAAGCTCCAAAGAGTGCCGCAAGAATCAAGAATTTACCGGACTGGACATTGATCATCTTCGCATTCCTCTCCACGGGCACAGAAAAGAATTTCGCAACCGCAACAAATGCTGCGGCCCCAGACATCCTCTTGAAGCCAGGCGTCCATGTGGTGAAACTCTACTCCGGAGCATATCCCAATGTGATAATCACTCTTGCATCAGCATTCCCAGCGATTCCAATTTCGCCCCAACCTAAACATTGATATTGTCGGCACGACACTCTTGGTAACATCCCGAAGGCTTAAGATCGAACGGAAGAAAAAGCAAGCGGAGCACGAGACCGAAGCACAACCACAAGCGCAGCTCGAAAGGGAAGGGCTCAAAGGCCAGAGGATCAGAAGGCGAGCCCAAGGCCAACTAAGACTCGAAGCAAGGTAACCAAATCAAGAGGACAGAAACTTGGTTTTCACTCTCGACTGGAATCCAGAAACCTTCAAGCACTTCATGCCCTTGACGGAGGAATTCCTGTCACAAATGCACCTGTTGCAGGATGTCGAGGCAGTCGCTAATTTGGGTGCTCCTCTTATCAAACTAAACGCTAACATTCAACTGTGTGGGATGGGGTGCAGATGGATGATCCGTTTAAAATGCGGACGAGGAAGAAGTACTGTGTTATGGTGCAAACCAACTTCAGGGAAGAAGAAAGTCAGCATTTGTACTCAGATTGTGCGTATCATCCTGAGCCTGAACCAGAATGCTTCACGAACGGAGTTGGGCTTCACTACCCTGAAATCCGGGAAAAAGGTACTGACTGCCCTTTCGACAATTGTCTGAGCTTGTGCTGTGTTTCTGTCATCTCGGAAAGTCATTGGGTTACCTACGGATCACTACTCAGCGTCCTCGAGTTCATTTCAAACCCAGCATGCGCTTATGAGAAAAATCCCGTGTGCAAGCAGAAATGTCTCCCGAGTGCGATTCCGTTTGCTACGAGAAAGAGGAGCTTCCTTGGTATCTGTCGACCATGAACAAAATTCCTTCCTACATGACGAAGGTGGTCTCATCGAAGTCTCAGAAGAAACTTGAACTCGTCTTTCCTCACAGAAACAAGCCGCCTTTCCAAACACCCAACAAACGAACCATGGTGAGCAGCTCCTCTCCTTATCCCTCTTCGACTTGTGGGTCCTGCCCGCTTCAGTAGCTTAAACACATCAATGAGTCGGATATCGGGGTAGACACAAGAGCCCAAGCCATGTCCGCCTTTTTTACTATACACCTTCTGATCTGGTTGTTTATTTGTCCATCTTATCGTCCATGCGATTTCTGTTTTAGTGTGGCCCAAATTTACATCTCCATCAATTCCAGCGTTTTGAAGTTTAAGAGATCCATCATGCGGCGAGCTCGCAAACGAGAAGCATGTATCAACCGATGCGTTTTATGTTTGTTTTAGTTTCCTTGTAGAGAGGGAGATTTCTTATTTTTGTATTTTCGAACAATTACTCTAGATGCGTCATGGAATGCTTTGCAGGGATGTCATTAGCTCTGAAAGTCCAACAAATGAGGACTCCCCACTGCCCTGACGTTGAAAATTCCAAAACAATGGAAAATGTCTCGGCGCTGGCCACTGAGACCGCTACATGTTGACAATTGTGTTGCAGGCAGAGCAATACGTGATACTGGAGCCATTCCAAACTTTATCATATCAAGGTCATTCACTCTCTTTTGCTCTGGCCATGGCTGGAGACCCATCCTTGTCTGTCTCTCATTCTCTAGAAGAGCAACTCGGCTACTGTCGATGGTACACAGTTACAGCGTCAAAAGGTATTATAGAATCTTGAGTAGCTAAGATTCTACAACCGCTATGGAAATTCGACTACTGCAGGACTGGAGTACCTAGAATCATGTTTATCTTTCGAATCCATATTGGACAAGCTAGAGACGGGTGGCGGAGATCCGTCTGAAAGCAGATCGAGAGCTGTGGCTCTGCGTTTGCTTTTGCGACTGCCTGCACAACCACCCGGCGAACTTGAAGGACCACCCACAACATCAGGCAGACTTCACAGCAGAGTCCATCTGAGTGCCAAGGTAATCCAACCAAATATCATCATGTATTGCAGGAACCCGCTCATTTGCATGCTTGATGTCCAGTTCATATCCATACGCATGCATCTCAGTGACGGAATCACGCGTGAGTCCTTTTTACATCTGTCTTCATCAAATCGGATAAGAGGATAGAGCCCACGTAGTGATAAATCATAAAACTGATGTGTAAGTCTAGTTCACAGTTCAGAAAGGACATTAGTTCGCAAATTTCATATTTGGTGATAGATACACCCTTGCAAAAATTATACACGGTAGATGGTTATGAGTCAAGGTTTATGCTTGAAGGACCTGACTGTCTTCCAAGGCATAGTAGGCCGAGAACTAAATGAGGTGGCCTTTAATTACATTTTCTTATGAGGTTTACCTGGCTGGACAGGGCAAGCATCACCGAGTGTTGACACCGAGATGTGACACAACTATAATTCAGCAGCTCGGAAGAAAGAGCGCTATCGTTCTCTTGCAAAAGTTTTTGAGAGGCCGGGCGAAGCAGATGTCCATGACAAAGACCAAAGCACGATGGGAGGAATCGTACGACGAGCTAAATGGCTTCGACCAATGCTATAAACCTGAAGGCATGCAATGTGGGATCGACTTGGACATCAGCATAACCAAGAGAGTACTTGTAAGAGCATTTGTTGGACAGATTCTAGGAGCTATGTTTGAACCTCTCGTTAACAAGTCTGGTGTACCGTCATCCCCTCCACTGACTGGTACGACGAAATAATTCCGAGCTCCAGTTTAACATTCTGGTGTCAACCCATTTCTATATATCATCAAGCTCGACAAAAAAGTGAACTCTTTCAGTTGATTTGCCTCATCGGGCAGGCAGAAATTTTATGACTCTTAACAAGAACTTGAAATCAGAGAACAATATCTGCATTACAGTATCTTGTGGAGTCAATCTTTTTTGAACCAGCAAACAGCACAAAATCGCTGGTGGAGAGATAAGGCGACCATGGTACTCTTCTTTCAAAGTCGTTGCTTGATGATGATCAGCAGCAATACTCACTTCGCTTTTGCTTTTCACGTATTTCTCGGATTGATTGCCTACAAAATTTGTATTTGGCAAGCACTATCTTTTTGTTGGGCAATTCAAAGTCTTCGCTCTAGTCTCAAGTTTTACAAGTTTCAGGTCTACTGGGCTTGAGATTACTTCAACTCACTTGGAACGTATCTTACATGTAGGTCAGGGACAAGATTTCCTTGACAATCATTGTTCAAACCGTACTAATGCTTCAACTTGGATTCGGTTCTCCTTACATTGTCATTTTTCTCTCTTGGCTTCCGTAGCAATATTTTAATCAGCCTCTAGTGATGAAAATGGCTACATCAACAGTTGCGAGAGGTCTGAATTCATTTCATCAGTCCACACAACATATGCTACTGTCTGAAAAACTCAAGCCAGATGTCAGTCTCTAAAAACTCTTCATTAAAATACCTCCCCCAAGTTTCCAATCAAGAAATGCATCTACAATATCATATTGAAAGACTTCAGGTACTCCAACGAAAAGGTTCCTCAATCAACTGCACGAAAAACAAAAACTCGGAGACTAAGATCCTCTGATCCTGCACTAAATAGAGCCTTGCTCGCTCAAGTGTTGGACGGTGAATCAGCAGAAGAAGTCGTGGTCATAAGAAGACTTTTTAATCATCACATCGGGAGCCAAAGCAACAGTACATTAACCAGAAACCACATCAAACTCACCAAGAATACAAGTCCAAGTCCGACCTGAATACCGAACGAAACAAAAGAGTAGGTCGCATGCTCACTACCAAACATTGACTAAATCATTCATGATGCATCCGGACTTGCTTCTTCGATCATGCTACAAAATTCTCTTTACCCATTGGCGTTGTCAGTTCTCTAGTTCGTGTTGTCCATCGGCTGAGATCTGAAACTAAGAAGAACTGCCTTCATTGATACGACTCACATGGGACTAGGACTCTTCTCGTATCTGGTCTACTCACAGTCGAGACATTTTTTCGCTAATCAAGCGTTGATCTCAGTTAAAAATTTCTTAGAGTGAGATTATCTCCATGATCAGGGTTTAGTAAGCAAAAGAAATCTAGATCTGCCTGTAGCTATCTATCAACAATCATGAGAAACTCAGACGAAATCTAGGGGACAGAGCTCAAAAGGGGCCATCTATAAAGAGGTAATACATAAGACATCATCAAATTTCGTAGATGTCAATGGCCGCATCCCAAGATTGTGTCGATCTACATTCGATTTCCTTTACATCGACTGGATGATTGAAGCGTGAAGATGAGCGACTGCAGATATCAGAAAAGCATGGGAAGACATCCTCCCTTTTGGTTAGGTCGAGGTCCTAGGCTGCAGTCTGATGATTTCTATTTTCTTTGCTTGCTTGTCATCACGAAATTACTACTTGAAATCACCGACTATCACTGGGGACTTCTTTTTTTCCATCCACAAGAATGTATACATGTATACAACCCAACTGCCTACACATATCAAATGACATTTTGCCTGTGTATACTCTCTATCGATTTTCTCCACCAAAAAGCTAATCCCTAATTAGTGCATGCAACATTGTACTAGTTTTCTAAGATGTAAATACTTGTTAGAGTAAGTACATTCAGTAACGTTATGAAACACCAAAAATCCAACTGCGCAGAAAGTTATTAATTAGATATATACAAAATTGTTTACCGAATGCGAATTAGATACAATGTATTGTAAAGTACTACGAGAGCAGCGATCGTGACACTTTCTGAAATCTCTGAATTTTTTAGGGCATCATGCATCAACATTTTTTATGGTAAAAACATAAAAGTTATCTCGAAGTCTCTGTTACCTTAACAACATAGCCTCAGTATATTTCTTTTTGGCGCATTAGACGCAGATCTTAATGCCGAGTTATGATGTTTGAGAATGTTAAAAACTGAGTCCACGAAAAAATCTTACTGCACGTTATATAACATATGAAGGTTTGTACAAATAACCGTACTTTATTATTTTACGTATTTTCAGTTGTGTGTAAAAGTGCAAAAGTACATTTCAATTCTTTCCCATGAGAACAAAATTCTCATCCTTTCTTCTCATAGATTGTATCACTGAAATGAATTACTTACACTATCTAAAAGCCTTTATTACGATACTGACAAAATCAACCTTCTTCACGTTTGTCTCTTCTTGCACAGTAAAAGCGTCATGGTACAATGCTGCAAGTAGAGGGACCCTGTTTCCTCTCAAAGAAAAACGCATCCTAGCTAAAATGAAAGCATACGAAAAATTTAAATCAATCCGTTAGATTAAATTGGACATAACTCCAACTCCAGCCGCCCTCGTTGGGAGTACAAAGATCAGTCGATTTGGTGAAAGGATGAATTTGAACAAAATGCTGGCGAATGATAAATCATACGGGGAATATCATTGGGTCTCTGTGGTAAGAGAAATATGATCTCCTTGAACACGAGGCTAGTAGATATTGTAAAACAAACTTGGATAGAGTCCCCGCATAGATACAGGCACGGACTAATAACAACAAAGGGGACCAATTCGACACACAAGTATAAACAGCGGGATTGATTAATTCCCAAGTTTCATGCGTCGCCGTTTCATGGTGGATCACAAGGAACTTCTTCAGAAATTGCGAGAGTGTACACTTGTAAGACATTCGGAACGAAAGAAAAAAACATGGAATGGATTTGCACATTCGTCCGCCTGATACTACTGCAGCTTAAGAAAGAAAGCCCTTTATTGATACGTACTCTAAATCAGAGACAGTGAACAAAATTTCAGGGGCTAAGGGCAAGTCTCGACGTTGAGTAGTTCTTATTCTTTACTGCTTTCAACTCCTCCAAAACTAAAATTGAGAACGCCATGAGCTTTTGCTTGTAAGCGTATCAATTCCAACTTAACTCATCCCAATTTACTCTAATTTGGCTGCTCGTCTACCAAAGCCAAATTACAGAATTACTCGTTAGCGCCATACTGTACTTGAGTAGTATATACAGCAGACTATGTCTTCAGATAAGCTCTGCCTGAATGCCTGAATCCATGATGACCACAAATGAGACTTTTGAGACAATGTGGCTATTTGTGCATCTCCGTTAGCTCGTCAAAACTTGATCACTCCTCCCAATTACTCGAGGGGAATTAAAGGGCTCGGAAAATTTTGGAGTTACCTAAAACTATGTTCTTAATGGACTCTGCTGACAACAAAATTTGAAGTATGAAAAACGACTCAAAGAATGCAGCAAAATCCTGTTTGTTCCACGAGCGACCCTTAGAATGAATATACAAAGGAATACAACGTTGACTATGTTCATTCACAGGTGTTCAAAGGAAGCAGAACTCCTGGTACTTCGCATTCGTGAAAATCATGGAGATCCTGGACCAGTTATAGCGCCGAAGACATCTTCTGGAAGTAAAAACTTCAATCCCAATGCCTGAAAGCTCCACAACAAATAAAGCATGAGGAATTTTTTCAGCTCTCCACTCTTCAATTTAATCTATCCTTCCTATATCATAAAATGATGTATCAAAAGCATCAAAACAATGAGACATCAAAGTGTCCCACCTCGGCAAACTCTGAATCGGCAGCGCTATGGTCCCCTTCCCTTCCAGCAGCATCTCCAACGTAAAAGGACCTGTTGTAACAACAGGAAAACAGGTTTCGCATATATGTACTATTAGCAAGACCATTTACAAGCAAGCAATACGAGCCGACATATATTATTTATTACTTTGAAATATATTTTAAGTTAAGGATTCTCGCAAGGAAACTGTAATCATGTAATGCTGATAATCCATCGACAACATCTACATGCGCTTCCTGTGAACATCACCTCTCTCTGTCTACTGGCAGTCCTGCGTTGAAATAATGCTCCAAGATTTGCCACATTCCGATGGCAGGTTTCCGAAAGGAATCCCCTGTATTGGACTTCCCACAAGCAATGAAAACCTGCAGATAGCAACACCAAGAGAGCCGATCATAAAAAATAAGGTCCGCGTAGTTTATGGACAGAGACGGACCTGTTATTAAAACCTTCGCATATCTATTTCCGATGCCCACAACATTTGCTGGAGTTGCAAACCTCAACAGGTAGACGAATTCATGATGAATTTTTTGCTGACACTTAGAACCTCGAACTAAACTCATATGAAGAGAAAAATCCTCTAAGAGGATTCTTCTCTTTCCCGACTACTTCATCCTCCTCACTTCTTGTTCTTCCCTACTTTGTAACAAGCACCGTTGAGGCAGAACCCATGTCAATGCAAGGGAATTGTGATGAGGTTTAACAGCATCGTGCAAACTGAGAAGGCCTAATTGATGTAATACATTCAAACTGATCCCCATGAATAAGCTGTCACTTTTAATACAGATGTTCCACAACAATACCAGACAAATGCAAAGTTAGGCTGAAGTAATGTAAGAACATGTGTGTTTTTGCTTACCTGCATTGGCACATTTGTGATGTCCATGAGGCCTTTCAGCCGCCCTAATTTGCTATCAATGGCTGCCTGTCGTTTATTCGTAAAACGATCAATATTCGACTCATTTGTGAAGATCACCTGTACATAAGAACAATCAATCATCCACATGAGATCATGAGAATCAAGATTAGAGGCCAGTTGACATATTAGCAGTTATTTCTTACACAATCATAACAAGAATGGAAGAATACTTGAATGTCATTCCAAAATAGACTACTGCTCTAGAGCAGACTAAAAAATTGAATGGTAGGCACCTTTCGTACGAACCAGTTTGTAACCTTCGTGATGGAAGAAGGCCAACTTCTCCGCCACGTTAGGATAGAGCAGTTTCCAAGCATCTGCACCAGGTCTGTCAAGTGTAGATATGAACATTGATTAGAGATACTCCCATGGAGTAGAGACACTTCCAGGGATCACATATTTGTTTCTCATGACAAGAAAATGCAATCTTCAAACCCAATCAATTCTCAGATTCCTATGAAAACGAAACAAATCAGACTTTATTCGCAAGACAGACCTTCTAACGTTCGTATCAACCAAAGTTCCATCGAAGTCAAAAGCTGCAATCTTTTCGGAAGGTCTCAGATTATCTGCCTGAACGATCCCGAACATATAGATCAGTCAAACTCTGATCTTACACACATGAGGTAGCACTATAAACAAATGCATACACGTGGAGATTGAGTAAGGAATAGCGGCAAATAATATGAACAATTCACTCTCAAAATCAAAATATTACTCACCTCATAGACAAGGAGAGTAGAATAACTTTTCCAACCCACCGGTAATCGGGCACCCTGGTAAACGCACATCATGAGTGAAACGGCAACATAATTGGCACATTGTGCGAAGGAAGTATTGCCAACATCCAAGTTGAAACAGGTGATGTATGAGAACCTTCGGCCGGGTTACTTCACAACCGGGTTGAAAAGTAACACTTCAGCATTCAGGTCGTTACCTTGTAACTTATGGACATCTGGGGCATCGTAAAGCGCTTCAGATCTGCAGGGGTGAGTGCCATCACATTGACAGGTTTCCCAACCTGTGAACTCAGCCCACGTTTGATTACATTAATATAAATGTCCCTGTCCCTATTGGTGAGGGACATAATAGATACTAGCGCTTGTAACTTCAGTTTGATCGTCCACTTTGTGCAAGGTTGAAAGGTAACAATGATGCTCTTAGTAAAGCTGCAAGTTGTAACCTTTTGAACCTACATCCTGTGCCCTGCTTGTCCGAGGGAGAGGTATTGAGCTCATCCAGACACACTTTGCACAAGAGGGTACATGAAAAGACAACTTTTTCACATTAAGATTCTTCTTCATACATGAGAACATCAAAATGAATACCTTGGTCGGTGGTGAAACCGAAGATGGAGAAGAAGATTTTAATTTCTCAGAATTTTTGGAATCCACGTTCTTTTTCAAATTTTGTAATATTGTTTGATCCATCGTCTGTACAATACAGGAGGAGAAAACTTAAGGATCCTGAACCAAGACGTTAAAAACTTTTCACAATGCGTAACGACTACATAGACGGTGACACTATAATGTGTGCCACTGAAAACAAGGATTCAAACGAAGGGTTCTTATCAAAATCTGTCATTAACAATTCTTGTCGAATGTAGAAATAACGAAGCAGATATACAACGCTACCTAGTTCAAACTACATCCTATGCCACGGTTTATTATGACTAACCCTCAAAGCAACGAAACCGTCCATCTTCGAATAATCAGTATCTGGATAATTTTCCGAAAAACACCAAGGATGATGCCTGGATTCAAAGGACAACAGTGCGTTTGTTGGGTGAATATGGCCGTACCATCGAAAATAAATAATAACCACGAAGGTTCAAAGCTTCATTCGAGGTGAACAGACAAGGCCGTCACAAGAGTGGCCACTGATAAGACACACTGCAGAAGGCCAGCAAACTAGAGACAGAAAAAATGAACACGTTTTTCTACAAGACAAAGACTGGACGGAACATTTTCATCGCCATCAACCATCTGAAGGAAGTTCAATAAGTAGTCTCGATGTTTACCGTGAGAAGTAGAAAGGTCAGCTGAATTGACTTACAAAACTTGGAAATCCTACCACAGGGAGCTTGAAAACACTTCTGACTACAGTGAATGCACTATGACGCAGCCATATCGTGCGAAAACTTTCGCTCTGAACTACTAGAAGTCTCAATTGGAAGAGCACATCTTCGAGGTGTGGAAAACTGCTAATATAATTACAATCCCTACCAGCGGATACTCCGAAAAGGACCCTGCGCGATTGATTCTTTCCCGACTCTGACGATGTCCTTTGAAATAGCAAGCCCGCAAAGTGGACACACTGCCCTCGCAGACTTGGACAGTTCAATAACGACTCGGCCTTCCATAGTTCGCTCACTGCGTATAATTCACGTGACTTCTCAAACAAGCTCCCTGGTCCCCCAGTAATTTACAGAGAGAGGGGTCCATCACACGCCCGCCATCACATCAACCACTGGAATTGTTCACGACATTGACCAAAACACTTTCTACCTATCGTGTAGCACTAACTGCCTCCACTTCCGCTCTTCAGCAGCTGCTTACAGTGCATTCAACCTGGAGCAGACGACACCACATGATCAGTCCACAAGGTCAGGGATGGTTATATAGGAAGTCTGTCAGGGACCCCTGTTTTCTACGGAGAACACTCCAAAGACCAGAATCGTGAGAAAGAAGAAAAACGATCCTGCTTCGACCCGACGACATTGACAGCCTTTGTCATGAGAGCCGACGTTATTCTCGCGCGTAGAGAGTGAATAGGACCACTTGCTGAAAGGAAAGAGATCACGGATGACGCCAAACGCGGCTCAGCTAATGCTACGCTGCAGGACCAGGCCCCAGAAGCCAACTGCCCTATCAGTGAGGGGCACATTCACAAAATCCACCTCGACATTAACAAACCCGTCATGTCTTCCACGGCCTGCCTACGGTAAGAATTCTCTACAATCACCCTCGTTATTGTTCGCCATTTACCATAACGACGAAAGTCCACATTCAAGCGGCACTTCCGAAAAATCCCGCAGCCCTGTCCTGTCTCTCGTGAAATTATCAAAGCCTAAACTCAAAAAGTCGTTCAATGACGCGAGCACTCTACGTCCATAACCCCGGGCAGGCAGGCAGGCAGGGGCATGCAAGCACGAGCAGCAGAGTGGCGCGCTCGATAAGCATCTCAGTAAACGACCCCGGTAATGGTAGCAATCACGCAAATTCCTGGGAAAGAGAAATTCCCGTCCCAAGATAACGAATCTCAGGAACAATTGTCCAAACTTTAAACAGCCCCTTTTAAAAAAAAAAAATCACACCAACGCACGCACCTCGTGTTCTGTAGTCTAGTGCTTCGGGCTTGTGCTCGCGGCATCGACGAAGACTGGTAGTCATAATCCCATTGCTGACACCTCCTGCCTGGGAATCAACACGTGAACTGAACTGAACTGAACTGCACTGGACTGCACTGGACTGACGACACAGCGGCCCAAGAAAGCACTACACTACAACTTAAAGAATTCCAATTGCCCCGTGGATCTGCAGAATCGAGGTGAAAGGGAGGGAGGCGACGAGAAGAAGGGCGAAGAAAACGGGGTTGTACGTCGCCAACTAAACAGAATTAGCCACAACGGTGTTTGCTCATGAGCAAGACTCTGCACATTAGGCAGTTTAAAATAAATGCCTAATGTTACTAATTTCAAATCTCCTGAATCCACTATCTCAAAATTATTTTTTGAGTAATTTCAAAACGAAAAAACCCAGGACAACTTTCAATTCGTCGTATCAACACGAATATGGTAAAAGAAATGCTCACACGAGTCCGAACATTGCACTTGCATGAAGATTTTGTACAACATTTGGTCGGAAGATCAAAATTGATACAAAACTAAACTAACATCAAAAATCACCGGAAAGAAGATTATTGGTTCAGCATTTCCCGATAACTATCTCACTCATCTCAAAATCAAGCACCCAATTCCTTTGGAAGATTATTAGACTCTCTCTAAAGAAAACAAGCTGATTTACTTTGACATTGAGTTACACTTTGTGAACATAATCCTGTCACATCCGGATAGAGATACCCACCATGTATTCTACACCATTGACAGAAAGCATAGTTGAGTTCATCATTGGAGAAATGTTATGGGATCTTGAAAATTTTGAAAGCCAAACCTATGAGAACACAATGTGCTTATTCACGCTAGATACTCATACCGATAACTATTCTGTGACTATCAAAACCTTCATGATATAGAACTTGCAATTAAGTACATTGACATTGGTATTAGTCTTGGGCAGGCTACGTTCGCGCTTCAGGCAACAAAGGAAATTGCCATGGTCTCCAAGCTTGATGGGATGAATGACTTGAAAACTGTTACATTTGTACGCGTTCAATGTTGTGTCAATTTTTGAATCAATTCTAATATCTTATGCATGGTGTGGACGTTCTCAATGACTCAACTTGCATGAGTACTTCATACATAAATATTGTTAGACTATCACTTCTGTCTGACCTGGTGAAGAGCAACAACCGGCTTCATAGGTTACTAGTGAGATTGTAGCCGTCAGATCTAGTTTAGTAACCGAACACACAATTTATCTCCTTTATTCTGTTTTTAGCACCGCCTAGCAGCTCCACCATGAAACTACTCAACTCCGCTGTTGCGCTGATTAGGGATCCAACTGCCTCCCGGGATATATTAACCTGTGGAGTTGATTGTACATACATCTAGCTTATTTGGTTTAACTAGTCTTCTCGAACTGTTGCATTCTACGTGGTATCAGAGCGATGTTAGCAAGACAAGCTGTTTGGTCATGTTTGAGAGTAAATTCAAATAGACCCGATACTCAGTCCAAGAAATGAGAGATTAGTTGAAACATAAAAGCAGATCAAAAGGGGAAAACTATCTCACAACAGAGATGGCTTCTAGAGACTCAATCATGGGAGATTCTTCTAAGCTAGATGGAAACTCCAACTATTTAGTGTGGAGCTTCAAGATGAAGAATTTGCTGAGTAGGAAAGATGTGTGAAGATTGGCTGACCACCTGCATGCACTATAGCTCCTACCAACTGCAACTAGAGATCGCGACGCTCTAGTTGCAAAAGAACAAAGCTTTAACAATGATTGCATTGTTAGTGAAGGTCAATGTGATTCCTTATATTGCCAATATAACCAAACCTGACGAGTGTTGGACTGTGCTCAAGGATATGTACGCCAACAATAGCAACTCAAGGAAACTTCTACTCATGAGAAAACTTACAAATCTGAAGATGGAAGAGGTGGCATCCATGACTAAATTCCTGCAATATCTTAAGCATTTGCTTAATGAGTTCGCATGCATTGGTCAAGTCTTGTCAGATATAGAAGTAGTAGAGCATGTGCTCATGGCACTTTCAAAATCGTTTGAAGTACTTGTTAATGCTATCTTGTATCAATCAGCCCTCCCATTTGTCTCGAATGTCACCACTTTTTTGCTACAGGATGAGATAAGACATGAACTCAGAGGTTCAAAGCAAAGTTTGAATGAGACGATGTTCACAAGAATGGCATCAAGAGCGAAACTAGCAAGCCGCAAGATCAACAACGAAGAAGGACGTTCAAAGATGAAGAAAAGTGGCGAGTGCCACTATTGTGGTGGAAAGAACCACTAGATGTGAACTACCCTCAACTTGCTGCTGAAGTGAAGATTCAAAGGGCTATCTGTCAAGAACGACCGTCAGTCAATCTCGTCAAAGAACTCGTCGCAAACTTCGGGAGTAGTAGTGAAAATGAACCTGATCAACCAGCCCTTGACCTGACGGCCAACTTAACTAAGCTCAACTTGGCCAGTCACCACAAACTGCTCACCGGCGACTGGTTTCTTAACAACGGTGCATCGAAGCACGTTACCGGCCGTAGAAGCATGCTCAGCGACATGGAATTAGTAGGTAGATCCAAGATTAGCACTACTGGAGGTGAAGTCCTAAATGTGGCTGCTAAAGTAAAGGTGGCAATTCCCATCAATTTTGGAGTAATAAAGTTTGTCAAATTTTTTTACGTACTTGGTATTACCAAGAACCTATTGTCTGTATGAGACGTTACAGATGACAAAGATAGACTGAAAGTGCTATTTGATTCCGATTGTTTTTGGATACTCAAAAAATTTCCAAATCCTGATCTAAATCAAGTAGTTACCACTGAAACCCGAGGTTGAAAAAATGGTATGTATAAGTTTAGACCTCCATTATTCACCATCAATAGCATTAACGTTTCAGCAGTGTCAAGATCGGAATCGTTCAAAGCAGCAAGTATTACGTCTCAGCCTCAACTTTCGGAACGGCTCACACCACCGAAAGGAAATTCATCACCCACGTTCTCTCGTCTGGAGCATACCACTGTACTTTGGCATTGCCGTATGGATCACGCTAGCATTCAGGTGATCAACTTCATGAAAAATCACAACAAAGTTTTCGGACTGCCTCCCATCGGACCATTGCCGTTCTGCCTCGCGTGCCACACAGGCAAACAATGCCGTGTTAGCAAGCCACGTAAAGAAGCAATCACTATCAAGAAGTACAACAACACCATGAATACTCAAGCAAAGTACTGTCACATCAAGCAACCTCTAGAGATCGTTCATACAGACATTTGCGGACCACTCTCCACAAATTCTCTCTCCGGCTCAAGGTACATTCTCTCAATTATCGACGATTTTAGCCGATACACTTGGCTATACTTTCTAAAGTTCAAATCATAAGCTCTTTCCAAGTTTCAGCACTTCAAAGCAATGGGAGAGCTCCACTTGAATTTCAAACTCAAGGTTATTAGATCTGATAGAGTAGACGAATTCACATTTCTTGCATACATCAAGTTTTGCGATGAAGTTGGCATACAGCGACAATTGACTCAAGCATACACTCCGCACCAAAACGGAATTGCGGAAAGAAAGAACATGACCTTGCTTGACAGAGCAAGGAATTTGGCTTTTGCTAGTAACATCCCTGCCTTCCTTTAAACAGAGAGTGTCGCTACTGCAAACTATCTAGTGAACAAGACAACTACTCGAGTTAACCAAGGAACAACACCATATGAAAAGCTCACAAGAAAACTTCCTCATGTGGACCATCTTTGAATCTTCGGTTGCCGGAGCCTGGTACTCGACGCAACATCTTTGACTTAGCGATGCTCCTTTTGTTTGGCGACGCCACCTTTATAATTTGCATCTTATATCAATTCCATTTTACAAATCTCATGCTAGTTTGTCACAGTTGAAATTCTCTGAAAATTATTTGATGTACTCTCTCCCATATAGAAAAATCAATCAATTAATGCATCGTTAGACGGAGTTCAAAATATGACAAGTCATGTTGCAAGTGTTATCACGCGTTTTCAACAATGTTCCATGGAAGGGTTCATTCGAGTGTGATGTTTTTTCCATTCATTAGACATTTCGCTATATGAGTCATACCTGAAGCTAGATGGAGATGTATGATATGCAACACTTGTATCTATGATTTCGCACCTGCATCGACAACAAAAGCTTATTTTCAGGATGAAATCAACTTGTCCCAAGACATATGCGATTATATGGCACACCATGTTTTGTGCCACAAGCTAGTTTGATGATCATCGTCACAAAATAAGTGCACATTATTTTGAAATTCCAATGAACTTTTCTCGACGTCAACCTGAAATTGCATCTCAACCTGAAAGTGATATCTAGTGGGTAGCCAAACAACAAACACATATTCAACTACTAATTGGTGAGTTACTGGTCAAGATCAGTGCATTTCGCAATTCCAACTTTGAAAATGTAGAATCCACTTATATCATACTGAACAATTGATTTGCTTCCTAAATTGATATCACTGGTTTCATTGTAGATCTTAGGCATTTTGCTTTGAATACAATAAAAAATTGCAATGAAACAATTCGGAAAATATTTCTTCAGAACGTTGCATTTCTTATATTTGACATTGTCGATGAATTTATAGACTACGTAGCATTACAAGATGAACACGGATCAAGCATCCATCAAGATTGTCCACCCGTGTATCTTTTTGAATTAGTGAAACTTAAAGGTCGTGATATCAGCCGTCTTATTATTTAACAAAAATATCGACTTGACTGTAGTTGGTCTTCCTCTAAAATTGACAAAACTGGTTCCAAAATTGACAAAATTGGATCCCAATTTGTAAAACTTTGTACCATGTACAAAAATGTCTCGGCTTGTAAGGAAGCCATAGATTCCTGTGATCACCTTGCTCGTTGGAAGATGCGTGGTCATTGCCATGTTTATCAGGCCGATCCAATTTTCT